GATGGGGAAGGGGGTGCGATGGGGGAAGCCTTCTCCGAGGGTGGAGCTGTGCTGGGGGTTGTGTCTGTCCACAGTCTCGGTGCTGGCACTCGGGTCACTGTCTCGTGGGTGAGGGGTCATAACAGAACACGCAGCAACACGCTACAGTGTACACGACTCACGGGGGGGGGCAGCAGGAAGCAGGGGCACCAAGGTGCGGACAGGCGGGAGGGGGTGACTATGGTAGTTTAGTGACAAGTCAAGGACAGGCCCCATGACTTCAGAGCCTGCGTTCCATCCCTGGGAGACCAGCTTGAATTAATTTCACACGAAGTGCCCAGCCTCCAGCCGGCTGGCGTAACAAGTTCCTCTCTGGGTGCCAGGCAGGCTCGGCCACTTGTCAGCAGTGAGATGGGGCTGCTTCGTCCGTGCCCTCGGTGGCCTGACTCACTGACGATGAAAACAAAGCTATTAACTCTGTGGATTCTTTAAACCTAAAGGGGGACGTTTCTGAGATCATCTGCTGAGCACGAGACGTGCTGTTTGGCGACGGGAAACTGTTTACACTTTCTGTTCTCTAACCGACAATCCAAAGGATGGACGTGAACCTGACGAGACTTCACACTAAGCACCTGAAGCAGCTTAAGGCCCATCTGTCAGTCTGTGCATCTCTCACAAGCCGACTTAGAGACACAGGACGAGGGCAGGTTTCCTGACCCAGGTGTTTCCATGTCTAGCATTTGCTTATATAACATCCGTGCACATTCCTTGTAAAATAAACTAGGAGATCGTGGGTGTTATAATTTATAAGCTGATCTAATTTTCCTTCCAGAGTCTCTGATGTCTGTCCTCTGGAACTTGTTCTGGAACAAGCGGCGAGGGGAGGTGCGGAGCCAGCACAGGAGCAAAGCTGGCTCCCGGGGGGCCTCCCGAGCGTGTTCTCGGTGATGACTCTGCGGGAGGGGTCCCGGCGCCCGAGCCTCGGCCTATCTGACTAGTCTGATGGATCAAATCTGTTGCTTTCGTGCCCCTCAGGGAAAGAACTGAGACAGAATGTAAATAGACCAGTGTGTGCCTGCGCTCGGTCCTAACAGAGACCGAGCCTGCCCCGGAGAAACAAAAATAATGTCGGGGAAGCGCTGAATCCATCATTATTTAATCCAGTGCGAGCCTGCTTTCAGTTCCCCGTCATGTTGTTGAGAGACAGCACGTTCAGTCACCCCGCCCGGCCTCACCCAGCACCGCGCTCGAAACCGCAGCCAGAGAGCCAGCTACGGCCCGGGAACCTGGGGGACCCGGCGTTTCCCTGATACCCCCACCCCAGATTTCCTGCAGATTTTTTCCGAGTACAAACCTTTTTCCACACTTTATATAAGTGTTTAGACACGTCACCAGCAGCCTTGGATTTCAGGGGAAAAATAAAAATAGCACTTAATTAAAACGGAACACAGAACCCAAAGGTATCACGGCGAACGGGGCCTCAGTGTCTCCTTCCCCACCCACGGCCTGGAACCGGGGACAGGTGACAGGTGGGCCGAGCCCTGGGTCCCACAGAAGCCCCTCCGCCTGGCGGGCAGGACAAGGGCCCGGTTTTCACTCCCCTTCACGCACCAAGAGGGTGGGTTAAAGTTGTTTTGAACACGTCCAGCTATGCTGGAGACGTACAGGGTCTTCATCAGACCTTGGGAAGCCCTGCCCAAGGCAGTTGTCACCAAAACCGGTCACTCGGTCGACATGCAGGCACACGTGCACACACAGGCACACACATGTACACACAGGCGCACGCGCACGCACTATTCTTAGGCGAGCAGAACGCATTCCTGATGACTTAGGCTTCGACTGTGGGCTTCCACGCAGAACAAACTTGAGCGAAAGTGGGAAGTGGGCCGTTTGTCACAATTGCGCTTGGTCGGGGAGAGGCTGCCAGGGAAAGGCTGGCGTTTCCTCCCGGGGCCGAGGGCGGTGGGCGGCTTCCCCACTGCCCGACGGCCCGTCAGCCTCCTCGGGAACTGACCGGTCGCCGGCAGAGGGACAGTTACTGCCAACGGTGAGGAGATCAGGAAGAAATGGAGAAAACGGGCTCATCTAGTGTGGTTTTGCCTTTGATGGAGAAACGCCAGCGAAGGCGCGTCGTGCTGCGGAATCACCAGCTGTGGATTCGTCGTCGCTGCCTT